GTCTCCCTCTTCTAATGTCAAAACCCCTGCTAAGATTCATTCTGAGCACTGGGGATATAACTCAGTGGCACAGCACCTGCCTGGTCCTAAGTTCAATTACCAGTACCAAAAAAAAAAAAAAAAAAAGATTCACTCTGAATCCTACCTTAGTAGCTACTGCTACTTCACATGTAGATTTAATCATTTAAGATCCACTGTGTTAAAACGATAGTTTAGACTTTACCAAGAAAACTCCATCTCTTCTAGGGTTCCATGGTTTTTGAGAGCTGGAGACCAGGTATTCACATTATATAATCATAAGGGTCATTTTTAACAATTTTCCTGTCTTAACTCCTTAATGTAGACCATTATTGAGACAGATATGTTAGTTTTTAAGGTTGATAAATAGTAATATTCCTATCTTTTTTGAGTTCCAGGCAAATTACAAAAGAAACAAAAAAATTGGGAAGGAATTCAAATACCAGCTTGATTATTGGTAAAGTTGCTGTATAAAACGTGGATTGAATTTAAAACCAAACAAGTCCTCTGATTACTGCTCAACTGCAGGTGCAATAGGAAAACTTTTTGGAGAGTTGTAAGCTGCCCATAGAAAAAATTTTTCCTTCATTTGTCTGTAAATAGCCAAGAAAGACAATGAAGTTAATGTACATTTCATTTAAGAAAAACTTATCTTATTTTCCAGTTCTGGAGACTGAATTTAGTGTTCACACTAAGCTACATCACCAGCTTGTTTTCTTTCGTTTTTCCATCTCTTTCTTTCTTTCTTTCTTTCTTTCTTTCTTTCTTTCTTTCTTTCTTTCTTTCCTTCCTTCCTTCCTTCCTTCCTTCCTTCCTTCCTTCCTTCCTTCCTTCTTTCCTTCTTTTTATCAATTCATCCATCCATTCATTTATTCATTTATCCATGTAAATTTAAGATGTCATCTTGGTAAATTACTCAGGCTGGGCTCAGATTTAGAATACTCTTGCTCCAGCCTCTGAGTGCGCTAGGATTACAGGCATGCAGCACCACACCCAGTTAAATCAATCTTCTTGTAGGCAGAATAAAGTTAGCAAATCTTAAAAGTAGCTTTGTACTTGTAGGTGCAATTTCAAATTACTAAGATTGTTTAATTTTAGGAATCTTATTTTCAAATGAAAGGAGATTGGTTCCGGAACCATTAAAACCTTTATTGGAGTTCAGAGCTAACCTCACAGTGGATATCCATGGTTGTTCTTTGCAAAGGAAATTGATGATCTCAACAAGGTCATGTGACTATGTGTCAGGGAACAATTGGTTTGTTGCAGATGTCACCAATCCTTGCAACCAACTATTGGAGCTATTGAAAATACAACATGCAAGTAGTATAGAGATATCTTAAGGAGAAAATGCTCACAGCTAAAGTTAGCATGACTGTAAAGTTGTCTCATTAATTTTAATCAGTGTTCTTTCTGCAGAATTACTAGGCAATTTTTAAAAATATTATATCTTGCGTTGTGATTATCCAAAGTGGAATATATAGGGTTTTTTTTTACTCTATAAATTGTGTATCAAGGGAGGAGTAGAAGCATAGAGGATTTTTTTTTGTTTGTTTGTTTTGTTTTTTGTTTTGATATGGGGATCAAACTCACAACCTCACATTTGCCAGGCAGGAGCTTATGCTGCTGAGCTAAATTCCTGGCCCCATATAGAGGTTTTGTATGCAATTGAAATTAAGTTATTTGTAGCTCAATACAGTTCTTTAGAAGAAGTTTTGTGCATGCCTTATAGTGACTACCAAAAATACATTCAGTGAAAAGAATTGCACTATATCCCTACAAAAATGTCATCAGATCACAGTAAAACAATAAGAAAAGAAAAGACAAAATAAACTACAATATTACAGAACAAAATAAACAACATGGAAATCATAAGTTTCTTTCCTATCCATAAGTGTAAATGAATTGAATCCTGTAATTATCAAGTCATTGACTGAGTAAATGAGAAAACAGGACTCAACTATATCTCATATGCAGTAGATGCATGTTAGTATCATATTAATATTGCATAGGTACACATCATTTGAAAATGAAAGAATAGAAAAAGATATTCTATGCAGATTGTAACCAAAAGAGAGCATTTGTATTTATATCACAAAAAGAAAGCATTAAGTCAAAAATTTTCACAAGAAACTAAAGGTCATTATGTAATGATAAAAAAGTCAATTGTACAGAAGATACAATAATGATAAAACATGCAACTCAACACAATGCACCTAAATATATTAAAGCAAAAATTATATATCTGCAGGGAGAAGTATATTGAATTGAAATAATCATGCTATATTTATAATAATAGATCATTTTGACAGAAAATCAATATGTAGTAGATAGAAATTCAAGTCAATATTTGTTTATTTGATACTATTACATAAGTTAATATCAAAAAGCAGATTTTGGCAACATTTGTAACTGGAAGCAGAACTTTTCAGTGCATTCATAGTAAGTACTGTAATGCGTGTTTTCATATTTTGTTAAGTTTCATTCACATTATTTTTTTTCCCAAGATTAAAATGACTTCATTACACTAGGAAAGACTGAGTGATCTGTTTGCCAGCTGATTTATTTTTAAGTATGAAATAAGACTGATAGCTATTTCTATTTTTAAACATCACTTGTGACATCAATCTATTTTAATCTGTGTTTCTCTTATGATTTAGCATTTTCATTTCATCTAGAAACACTGTAGTTCTCCTTGCTAGGACAGTGCTATTTAACTCATTGACTTTGTGTGATAGCATCGTTCTAAAATTCTGTAGTTGTTATATTAGCATGACTAGTAAGGCTGTGTTGGGATTTTATTTTCTAGGCCTTAAGTAGCTCTGTGTTGTTAGCTTTTTTGCATCACATGCTTGACAAATGCCTCAGTTGGAACATAGTTTGATCTCTCTGTTTCCTCATTTACTGTATATGAATCCTTGGTTTCCTTCTCCATCTGGTTAATAGATGTGGTAACTAGTGAAAATTAGTCTTTCCTATTAAGGTACAGAAATGTATCTCTTATTTAATTTTACAAAGCAAAACAATAGATATCTATGTGTGCACCCTTCCTAGGAAAAAGTTACATTTATATGTAGTAATATAGATGTCAGAATACCTTTGTTTTTTGAAATCCACTAAATATTACAGTTTAATGTATTAATATTACATAGATAATTTCCTTTTGAATCATTGTGAATTCATAGAGTTTTATCTATTCAAGCAATTCTAATTAATCTTCATTAGGAAATGTTACTTTTGTACTCAAGTTACTTAAACTTGTCCTTAGAGTTCTACCACATCACCCACTTTTTTTTTAATCTGTGACAAAAACAGTGTCTTTACCACACACTCTTATACTTTTTTGTCTTAATAAATTTATTTTGTATCATCTAAGAAGGTCTTGGGACTTAACTCCATCAGGGTCTCAACACCAAAGCAAGAATGACAGAGCTTTTGTTCTTTGTTCACATTGTTTTTTCATAATTTTAACTTTTGCTTGGACACAGCTTATTCGGTTGAAGGGATGTTCTAGAGCAGTTTCCCTCATGTTTTTAAAATCGTAACTGTGTTCTGGGAATAAAAAATGTGCCAGGTTTTTTCTTCTTTTTGTTTTTTTCTGCTCTAAGCAGCATTTGTATATCTTCTAGAATCCTAGATTTTTAAAGTAAAATCTATTATCTTAGGTAAAAAAAATCTAGTTTCTAAATTGAAAATGAAAAAATGTATTGAGAATTCAGAGATGCTTTATGTGGTAATAGTGCTGAAAAATACATATAACAAATATAATTATATATGTTTTCACTTCCAGGTTAATACAATAAAGTATTATTTTATTGAAGATCACTGTCTATCATCTATCCATCCATCCATCCATTCATCCATCCATCTATCCTTCCAGATATATATTTAAAGTAATACTGTGTAATACATTTTAAGGAAGACTACCAAGAAGGTTGTATACTCTTTTTTTTTTTTTAAATCGGTACCAGGGATGGACTCACAATCGCACGCTTGTAAGGCAGGCGCTTATGCTGCTGAGCTAAATCCCCAGCTCCAAAAGTTGTATATTCTGAAAAGTAGACTTTAAGTAGGATATCTAAATTGTCTTACTTGGCTTGGGCTAGTAGAACAAAGCACCACACATTGAGTAAAAAGAAGACATTAATATCTCACACTGTGGAGGCTAAAAATCTAAGATCAGGGTGCCAGCATGGTCAAGTTAAGATAGGACTTTGTTCTGGGCTGGTAGATGACCACAGTTCATGCTGTGTATTCACATGCCAAAATGAAACAGGAGGAAGCAAATAAACACTTTAATTTTTGTAAGTGCACTGCTTCCATCAGGAAGAACTCATTGTTATGATTTCAGCTAAAATCAATTACCTCTCACAGGTCTCAGACAGAAACACCATTATAAAAGTCATTGACATTTCAACAAATACATTTTGGAGAGACACAGATATTCACTCCATAATACCATTATATGTGAAGCCAGAGACACGGAGGATGTCTTCATCACAGAATCTTACATTTTCTTTATCTCTGCCTCAACAAGGCTATTTTGTCTAACACAGGAAGATATGTAGTTTAATTATCAGCTCCTCAACCTCTTCCTCAACTTACAAGCAAAAGCTTCTGTGTCTTTACATACAAACTGTGCTCTACAAGCTTTTGTTCTCTCTTCACATCATTCTTTGCCACTTGTGTGCAACATCTCATTCAGCTCAAAAACTTTTTGGAAGGAGTTTGTCTCAAGTATATAGCTACTTTTAAAATCCAAGAAAAGAGAAAAATGAGATTTTAGTTAACTTTTGATTAAGCTTAATTATGTTTTTTTAGGGTATCTGCTAAATATGTTGTCTGAAAAATTTCGTAGGGCACATAGGGATATCAACATATTTATGGAACTTCCTCTATTTTGTGTTGCTTTCTCAATTTCCTTTTTGCATTGCACCATCTGCTGGACTGAATCAAAAGAAACCCCAGTCTTTGGAAAGATTTCTTTTAAGCAAACTTTTGTGACAGGAACTGCCTAATCTCACAAACATAGGTAAGACTGGTGTTCAGTGTCAAGTGTTTCTATCACATGGACACATACCCTGGAAAGTAGAGGAAATTCCTCATCTTCCCAATCACCAGACAAGAAGACCACAGACATATAATGCAACTAGTAGAACCTCAGAGTAAAAGTGAGTGCTCTCTTTTTTTGCTTTTAAATTTAAGATGCAGATGGTTTCATGACTAAGATTTTAAAATATGGTGGATAGTAATTTTGAATATTGAATATTATGGTGATCAGAGGGAGGAAAATAAAGATAACCTTGGAGTAGGAACAGATGGTTTAAAATAACTTGGGTAACAGAAGCTTCTTTATAAAATGTAGATTGTACCAATTGAGGACATAAAGCATTAAAAGAGAAAAACTTGTGGAAAGAAAAGGAATCACTAAGCAAGGTCCTTTGAAGGCAAAGAGGGAGAATTAAGATATAGAAAAAGTACCAATTTTAGGATTTTAGGATCATGGTATGTCCAAGGCTCTATCTGTTTTGTGTTTGACTCCAAAGAAGTTATATCATGTGATTATGAAACAATATTTTTGAGACATATGGGGAATAAATGTAAAAATATATAAATGTAAAATTATGGTTTTAGTTTTGGTCATCTCACCAACCTGCCACGCCAATTTAGTAGGCTCATATTATACAATAATCTAGAAAAATATCTTTTTATGTAAGAGTGTGTCTTGAAAAATTTTCACATGATTACATACTGATACACATGATTATTTAATTTTTGGGTAGAATTTCACCATAGAGATTCTTGGTAGTTTAGTAATTCTGATATTTCTAATTGTATTATCAGCATATAAATATTGGTTTCTAGAGTACTTTTCTTATATCTAAAAATACTGCAATGTATATTCTTTTATACAAATACCTTCAGTTATTTCTATATGATAATCCTAGAATTGAAATTCTTGTAGTGAATTTAATGTACTTGAAATTAGTGAATACTACCAAATTGATCTTCTAAAATATTTTTCTAATTTTCAATTTCAGCCTCAGTATTTATTTCTTCATCATGAATGCTTAGTTTCTCTCAGAGATCCAATACTTCATAGTTCAATTTATACTTAAAGTTTTATATGAAAAATCATACTTTAATATCTTAACTTATAGTTTCCTACATGTTATTTGTTTAATATGTATTAATAATTTTAACAAACTAAACTTGCAGCAAATTTTCTGCTCAAGTATTGATCAGCTTTTGAATTGGTTTTTGAAGTCCTTCATGTTATCTGGATACTGATATTGTAACAAGTTGTTTCTTCCCCGTAGTTTTTACATATTGTGCTACCCAGAAGTTCTAATGTTTTAAGCATTATGACATCAGTTTTTGGTGGCTTTTGGGTTTTTCACTTTGCCTATAAAAACCTTTCCTGTTCCAAATTTACAAAGAAATTAATAATTTTTTATTTACCAGTAAACTCTAAAATTGATTTATTCCAAGGAACTATTTAAGATCTTCTTTAGATATAAAATATTTTGGATGCTCTCATATTTAGCTTCTTTTCTCCTTGTTAGAACTGGCTTCCCTAGACCTCATGGTAGAATAGAAAATAACCTATTTATTTTTCCATTCATCCTAGTGCAAGGATACCAGCATTCCCAGATGATCCCATGGGTTGTTGCTGTTGTTCTCATCTCACTTCTCAGTGCCTGTTTTATTGCAAGTTGTTTGGGTAAGTTACTCATTAAAGTAGAACTCTACTTGATTTTTTTCCCATAAAAGTGTCCTAAGTTTTTTTTTTCTCTACCTATTTTTCTTTCTATGCATCAATGTATAATGAGTTCAGTGCCTTGGATCTAAAATTCAGACTTATATTTTGGACCTCTCACTCTTTGATGCTGCTGCATTGAGATAATCAAAAAGACCATTTTATCAACATGTAAAAGTTAGTGTATATAATAGTTATTTCTGATTTTGTACAAGAATTATGAAGAGTAAGGTACAAACAAAACTCCAGATTTCCAATGCACTTACTATGAAATGAAAATTACTGTTGGAAAACTAGTTACTTGATGTTTAAAAATAATTTGAAGTATGAGTGACATAGAACAAGTTGTAAATATTCAGTATATGCATCTCAAGTTTGGGGTTATGTGTAAATTCAGGAAACCATCATCACCATCAATGTTGGAGGAAGATTCAATTTTTATGAGATCAAGACCTAAAATGAGGTTACTATAATTAATGTTATGTGGTATACACATAAGAAGAATAGAGCAAAGGAAGGAATAGAGAACTTAGTCACAAATTCATGTGAAACAGAGGAGAACATTGCACGTTTCTGAGAAGTGAGTAGTTTAGTTCAATAAATTTTTTAGAACCTATTGATTACCTACATGTAAGGAGTGAAATTGGGCTACTGTATCGTATCATGCATGAATACCAACTCAAGGTGGATTATCGGTCAAAGTATAAAAAGTGGCTGATAAAGTTTTAAAAAGATAAATGAAGTTTATTTTCATGATAAGTCACAGAAAATGGTTTCTTAAGCAATTAAAAAGCATCAGAAAATAAATAAATTATTGGAAATTTATAGCACATTAAAGCAAGTCATTATATAATGGAAGATATCACAATGAAAGCAGAAAATCATTAGAGAAAATATTTAAATAATAAATAGTGTGCAGGACACACAAAAGCCTTTCAAATAAATAGGAGATATATTGACTGTGAAACATAAGAATAGATGAAATCCTACATACACAACACAGTAAATGAAAATGAAAATTTAGTAATAATATAAAGTGTCAGCCTCATTACTTATCAAAGAAAGGAAAATGCAACTCATATTGAGATACTGTGGCAAACATGCCTGGGTGAGATGCTAGTTATGGAAGTCATTCAAATGTGTAACCCTTCTGAATATTGCTGTTTCTTTGGAAAATGGACCTGTAATAAATTGATGTTTTTAGGTGTGTACAGAAATACAAAACACTTTGGAAATTTTGCCACTGTCATAGTTTGCAACTTTAGACTCTCTTGTCAGCAATTATATTCCTAAATATATACCCCACAGAAATGCATGAAAATAACGCAGTTCACATTAGCCAAACACTAGAAACACTAGACATATCTACTAAAAGTTGATCAATATTGTTATGGGATAAGGACTCCCAACCTGCTAGATGTCAAATGTAGCCAATTCACGGTTCCACAATAGCGAAGAATGAAGCTGTGAACCAAAGAAGGAGGTCAAGAGAGTTTTGTTGGAAAGAATAACTCCTGGGATTTCACTGAAGTTCCGAGTCTGTTTGTCACGGATAATTTATATAGCAAAATCACAAGGAGGGTACAACGTGGATCAAACTATAATCAACCTACAGGATTACAAGTATAGTCCCTTAGCTAATATTGTTCCAAAAGAGAAACAAGGCATGCAGGCAAGTATTCTGGAATTTAGCTTTACCTGGAGCTGGAACAGAGAACTACTTAGGAAGAGAAGAGAATGTGAGGGTATTAGTGAATAAGATGAGAACAAAGTTAAAAAGGGTGGCCCTCCTTTCCCTAATTAAGTGATTATGAAAGAAAAGGAAACTAACCTATCTTTTCTTCTTCACAGTTACACATCACAAATTTCTACAGTGTAGGAGAGAAACAAAAATACTTCCAGAGTACCATAAAAAATTGATATGTACCCGAGAAGCATCAGGACAGAAAGGTACAGTCAGCTGAGAGCATCAGAAAATTTATTTCCATTTCTATTCAAATTCATAATTCAATTTAAAGAGTATCAGAGGTGAACTAGGAAAGAATAATATCCAAATTTGGCACAGGAATAACACCTTGAGAATACCTGGAGAACATAATTTAATACCTTTATAGGCTATTTTTAACATCCAAAGCATAAAATGAATTAATTACGTTTTCCCAATGTGTCATAATGTGTAACTTTGCTGAGATATTTTAATCACTTTTATTATTGTGGAATGTGTAAAGTAGTCTCATTTGAAAGAATGCAGAAATGTTGAATGTTAGCAGATCCTTTGCCTCTTTCAGATAAATTGTCCTGCAAGAGGACTCGTTAAAAAAACACTTTAAACATGAAAGCAAATTGATGTAGATATTGAATCATGATCATGTTTTCTAAAGCAAATGCTTCATAATTCTCCACAGTGCTTATGTAACTTCAGATACTTCTGTTTAGAATATGGTTAGAAATGAACTTTTTAGGACATTTTTATCAGGTAGAATGCAATAATTTTGCTAATGATGGTATTTTTTTTCACAAATGTCAATTGGTATTGAGCAATAGAATTTACATGAACCCTCAACAGATTTAATGTGTTTTCTTAACTACATAATTTCCATTTCTATTTGCACTTGAGGGGGTACCTGGACTTGCTGCCCTGTGGGTTGGAGAGTCTTCCAGTCCAACTGCTATTTTCCTTTCCATGACAACAAGACCTGGGCTGACAGTGAGAAGAATTGCTCGGGGATAGGGGCCCACCTGGCAAGCATTGTCTCAGAAGCAGAGCAGGTGCGCTGGAGGGTCCTCCCCTTTTTCTGCAGCTTTGAATGTCCTGCAGAGAGAGAATTTCTTTGCTCTGCTGAACCTTTGTGCCTTTCCTTCCTCTGTGCCATTCCACTGCAAAGCCTTCTCTTCCTTTTTGACTTTTCTTCTCCATCCTTCCCTTTCTCCCTCTTGTCCTCTTTTCATTTTCAATTTTTTTATAACAACAAAGCCCAAAATACATTGTAGTATAATCCACCAATCCTTCAGTAGTAGAAACATACATACATATGACTTATATAGCAAGATATGTATTTTGTATGTAAAAGTAAACATACTTGTTAGAAAATTAATTTTGTGTATATATATTACTAAATTTTTGTCTTTTCAGGTTTTGGTCACGTGTTATTTCTTCTGGAAAACCATTCTTACCACCTGCCCTCTTCTCTAGTTTCCCTATTCTAAGCTCTAGGTACCGCTGTGGCTCTTTATCCGCAGAGAAATTGTGGCACTTACTCTTTGCCAAGGCATCTCTCACAATAACTGGAGCTACTGTGCTTATCTCTATTGTCAGTGTCTTGTTCAGAGTCAGTTTCATGAACATGAGAGTAAATAGATTTTCAGCATCAAGTATAATAAAAATAGCTCAAATGTACACTGTTGTTTCTAAATAAGGAAAAGTAAATTCCATTTATCAAAAGATGAAATGTATCTCCTTGTGTGAAATGTTTCCATATAGTGTGTACCATGCCTCAGAGTCCTTTCATTTCTTGCTTAACAGATTATTGGCTTTGTGTCTATATATTTTGTGACTCTTCAAATAAAGCATGATTTAATGAAATAATCATCAGGGATATAGCTCAATGGCATGAGTGCCTGCCTGGTAAGCATAAGGTCCTTAGTTAGAGTCCTGCCCCAATCAAGTAGTTCTAGAAAGCAGTTTAAAACACAGAAGCCCAGTCTTTTTAAGCACATGCTAACAGGATTGCAAGTTTGAAATCACTTAGTCTTCTCCTGTACTCTAGGAAGTAGTGGTATTATATTTTCTGGAGATGAAAAAACTGAGGATTTGATGAGACTAAAGCACTAATTAACATTACAAAAAAATTTGAAAACAGGACTAATCCCAAAGCTTTGGTGCTTAAGCAATAGTCTATAGGTTTTATTTCCTCTTTGTCAATATAATGGCCATTGCCTAAGTGCAGATATATTTATAAAAGTTTATGTTTTGGATGCAGAACTTCACAACTAAAATTTTGAAAGAATTATTTTCATACTTCATCGGACTTAAAAGTGAAAATGGAAGAGGTCAGTGGCACTGGGTGGATCAGACACCATTTAACCCACACAAGGCGTGAGTATACTGATTGAGACAGAGAGAATTTGTAAGTGCATATAGACAAAAGTAGCAAGAATTCATTAAAACACAGGAAACCTGTGTGTATTATGTCCCAGTTGTATATTATTATCCTATGATTATTATCCTATGATTTCATGGAAATTCTTGTTTCTACAATGTTGATTAAAGAGTAGATAATATAGGGTGATGTGCAAGATGTTCTTAAATATTATATTTAGATAAAAACAACATGCTAAAAGTTAAACTTATTTTTGAAACACAATTATAACCTTGTTACTTTCTTCCTGGAAAACAATATTATATAATATAAATATAAAGTTATGTATGTAATTTAATATTTTTTCCATTCAGAGAGGTAAAATTTATATTAATTCCATGTAATATAAAATTATTGATGTTTTACTTATTTTTATGCTGTCACCAAAATATAGTGTACCTTTAACAATTAAGAGTGCACCTCAACACAGAGAAGTAGCATTTCAAGTACAAAAAAGTCACATGTACCCAGTGACTTGCATTGGACAATGTTGCTCCTAACATTTTCTTGGGATAGCTCACTAATATACATCGCTATCTATATTTACATTCACTTTTATCTCTTTCTATGTCTATTTATATTATTTCTTACATATATTGGCGTATATATTCTTCCTTTCAGATTTTGGCTTGAAAAAACCTCAATAATAAGCATAAGGAAGATTGTGCTGTCCTTGTTAATGACCAAAACATATGGGGCTGGAATGATTTTCCTTGTAACGTGAAGACAAGTAGGATTTGCAAGATACCTGGAACAGTGCTCAAGTAAAAATCTACAAAGTGGCCTGCCTGATGGAGACAGAAAAGAACCAATGAGATGTCAGCATGTATATCCATATCAAAATAGAGGAAAGATATTGTGTCATGGGGTGTTGTCAGTCAAATGGTTTTACTTATTTTTGTTTAATTCATTCAAGGTGGCACCAATGTGTATTGAATGTAATATAGTTTGAATGGAGTTTTGATAGAAAAAATTCTATGTGTGAACCGGTTTTCCTTATTGTTTTCTGTCTTGATAATATTACAAGATATTTACTTTTAAGTTGGTTTACATTGATTTCGTATCTAACACAATGGCTGGAGTAATGAAATTTGTTATTTTTCTGAAGTTCAAATTATTAACTCTTAAAACACAAGTGTAAGACATTTTAATTGGCAGTGGTAAATACATTTAACCCAAATTAAAAACATTTTAAAATTATTTTAGAAGTATAAGTTTACTATGTGGTGGCCCATTGCCAAAATTTTTAACATTTCTTTATCCTAACATTCTGTGACCAGGTTTTATTCCAGAGCAACAATATAGATTAGTTCCAAATTATGGTATTACACAGAGAAATGGAAAGGATTATTTCTTACTCTATTCTAAATGTCTCTTTAAAGCAGGAAGTCTTAAGGTGGTAGATAAATTTCTTTTCAGTGAAAAAGTTCATTACAGACCACTGGAAATGAATCCAATTATGTAGCTGAGGAAAAAAAATCCCAGGGAAGCTGATGGACTCACTTATGTGCTCCTTGTGAGTCACAGGGCTAGGGTCCTATCTATCCATCACTAGAGATGAATAATGCATTGCCTTTGAAATTGTAAGTGGATTTGTGAGCATATCTTGGCCTCTTTATTATGATCTAAAAGTTCTTAATTACTTAAAATTGCACTTTATTGATGTTTCATTTAGAATGTTAATTAGACTCACATTTTTGTTATTTTGTTATATCCAATTTCAAAATATATTAGTCTTTCTTAAAATTTGCTGATATCCCTTTGTTCTAAGATCCAAATTTTTGAAAAGCAGCTTTTTAAACTAGCTTGTCAACCATTATTTAAGAAAAGCCTAATATTTATTTTGTAAATCAGTTATTGATTTTCTGTTTTGAGACTCACTGTGGATTATGTGTGATGAGAAAGGATGATAATGATGATGGCAATGTCTATATGTACATTTAAAGTATACACTTAACTCAGATATTTTGAAGTGTTGCTAAATAACTGTGTTTTTCATATTCACTAAAGTAAAAACACAAAACTTGTTGAAGCAACTTTGTGTAGGTTCAGCTAGAGTGTGTGTAGAAAATACTCATTGTTAATTCATAAAAAGTTGTATACAGAGATTATACAGTCAATAAACTGTGATCTCTATGTTACTTCATTCATCCATGCCCATATTCATATCTATAATTTCTTTTCCACAATTTGGCCATCTTTCCTCACCTCCAATACTATAACCATACTGAAGCCACTATTTCTATCACCTGGGCTAATGAGCTGGCTTTTCTATGGTTTTCTCTGTTTTCACTTTCAATCTCTTCAACTGTCACAGAAATTTTCTTATTCTTTGTGATTTCTTTAAGGTTGACAATGACTTAAAGCAAATAGATTCCAGCTCTTCTAGTACATTATACTGACCTTAAAGCTTAAAAGCTAAAGAATTTTACATGGTGCTATTATTTTTGAAAGAATATTGTATAAATATTTTTAAAAGAAAATAATAAATACATCAATAAATGTATGAAGCAAACGTATCATCTACCCTGAACCCCATTCTCCTGATACCTCATCAGAGTAACTATGACTATCAGATTTCATACAGATTTCCATATATGTTAATGGCTACAAGTGGCTGTGTCAACTACATATAAAGTGCATTATGGATATTATAAAGTACTCTATGTATACTCTATGTTATGTGGAAGTAGTATATACCATATATGTATTTATGTACTATATTGACATATTTACAACTTTTACACTACTATAAAAGCATTTTCCACATACATTTAAACATTTTTTAAATATAATAGGTTGAGAATTGTTTTATACTATATTCATTATAAGTAAATGTTGCCTCTTTTTATTCTAATATTTTAAAATCATCTTAAAATTACAAAATATATATTTTATTAAGTAATAGAAGTCCCTTAAATGGTTCTGGAAAAAAATACAGAGCAATCACAGTTCACAAAAGGAAGACAGTGTTCCAAGGAGAACATTTCATCATGAAAATATGGGAATGACAGAATGTACTTGAGCATATTGGGAGGTGTTGCACAAATCTCAAAACCCGGGACATCAACTCTGTTTGGCATAAAAACTAGAAGTATGAAAAATGAAGCCAATATTAACTACAAAAGCAAAATATGGTCAAGAATATGTAACATAATAACATGTGCAAAGCATATGTTGTATATTATTTAACTGTATTTACAAATTCACATTATACATTTTGAATATTAATTTTAAAATAAATTATCATCTATTTATAGGGAGACAACTGAAATTGCCCATGTATGTGAAACTCAGATAGGGGCATGCTCTTGGATTTATTAGGGTGTAATTAATAGAAATTCTATAAAATTTAGAAAAATCAAAAACATATATAATACAAACTACATTTGGAAATTAACAATAGAAACATGGAACTTAACTAGATACAGTAGCATTTAAAAGACTGAATGTGTTGCTTAGGTATAGATATCAGAAGTAGGCAGCATACAGTTCTTTTTGGTTACAATCTAGTTAGAAGAAAATTTTTAAAATAATGTACATGTATGTACATAGTGTGCAAATCTAGTAATCAACCACATCAACATTTTAAGAAAAATACTTAAGCCTGTATTTTGGTTCACCTTCTGTTGTTATACCTGAGCTTGGTAACATACAAAGAAAAAAAATTTTTTTTGGCTCATAGTTTAGGAGGAAGAAGGTGCAAGATCAAGTGATCCAATCAGATTCCTCTCTGACAAGGTTCCTCTGGCTCCTCACAACATAGTGCATGATGCTATGGGGGAAGCATGATATTATGGTGAAAGAGTGTGAGAAGTCACATGCTGGGGCAAAAAGTAAGAAAGACTCAGAAGCCAGACTCTTTCATTCTACAAGCCACTCTAGCAGGAACTATGGAGAGCGCTTCAAAGATATATTAATCTCTCTCTCTTTTTTCCTTCTAGTTTCTCTCATTTTTAATTGAGATTATTTGTGTATTTTAGATATATAAAAGGGGCATATTCCTCATAGGGAATTTGCACCTGTGCAAAACATATTTTGATTCTCCTTTTTTTTTCGCAGTCCTCTCTGCTTCCTACAACCTCACGTCCTCTCCCTATTTACCAAACTTCATTTCTGTTTTATCCTTGTAAAAAATCATTTATTTTCTTTTCCCTTTTTTCCTTTCCCCCTTTTTCCACCCAAGCTCCTCTTTTCTTTGGAACAGTTTCCTCTCATTTTACAATATCTGTTGTACATTTTGGTCCTTATAGGGAGACAATATGAGGTTTACACATGTGAGTCCTTTACACGTGTAAGTGCTTTATTTCAATGGAGTCTGGCCTCAAGTTTCATCCATTTATCTACAAATGTCTCAAGTTTATCTCTCTTTATGCCTGAATAGCATTCTATTCTATTAAAACACCATATCTTCTTTATACATTCTTGAGTTTATGGACATTTGTGCTATTTCTATGACTTAGTCATTAAGAAATATGCTGCTATAAACATGGTAGTTCGTAGACTGCCGTGGTGTGATGTTTTTAAACCTTCCTGAAAGATATCTAGAAGGGGAATAGATGGATCAAATGGATCCTCTGTTACTAGTTTGCTGAGGAAGCTCCATATTAATCTGCACAGTGGTTACATCAGTCTAAACTTCCACCAAGAGTGGAGAATGGTTCCTTTTCCCCACAGCCTCTACATCATTTGTTATTGGTTGATTTTTTGCTGATAGCCATTGTATCTAGGTAAGATGGAATGAATGATGTTATAAGTCACATCTCTCAAATGACTAGTGATATGAAAATTTTTTCTTTTATTTATTTTCCATTTGTATTTTTTTCCACCTGTGAAATATGTATTCTTCTTGAATGTACATGATTGGATTCTACCTTTAATTTGAGGCATCAGACTTTTTTCAGTTCTTCATACATTTAAGAAAAGAGTCCTTTGTCCAAAGTACACATGACCAAAATTTTTTCCCACTCTGTGGGTTGTCTTTTCACTGTGTTGGTCATTTATTTTGCTGTGAAAAACCTTTTTAATAGGATGAGTTTCCAGTGAATAATTCTTTGTATTACTTCCTAGGTCATCAGTGATTTCTTTATGAAATCTTTACCTGCAGCTATGTCTTCAAGACTCCTACCTATTTGTCCTTCCAGAAAGTTTAGTGTTTGTGTTTTAATATTTAGATCTAGACCAATTAGACAAGAGAAAAAAATAAAAGGAATAATAATAGGAGAGGAAAAATTTAAAGTATCTTTATTTGCATGACATGATACTCTATGTAGAACACCCAAAAAGTTCCACCAAAAATATATAGATTTAATAAATAAATTTTAGTGTAGCTGGCTATGAAATCAAAAATTAAAATCAATAGCATTCTTGTACACAAAGAACTTACTGAGAAAGAAATTAGGAAAGTCACATCCTCCACAAGAGCATCCAAAAAATGAAATCATTAGGAGTCAATCGAACATTGGAAGCAAAAGATATACACATTGAAAATTACAGAACTCTGAAAAAGGAGATAGAATAAGATATTAGAATATGTAAAGATATCCCTCACTTATGGATAGGAAGAACCAACATAACAGAAATGGTTATATTCCAAAAATTATTATACAGATTTGATACAATCCCAATGACAAAGCCATTAGCATATGTCACAGATCTAGAGAAAACATTCCTAAAATTTATTTGGAACCAGAAAAGACCTAGAATACAAAAGCAATTGTGGATAGCAAAGGAAAGACATGGAGCATTAAAATTCCTGATTTGGAATTATACTACAAAGCTACTGTGATAAAAAATATTATGATATTGGCAAAAAAATACACAGCCAAGAACAAAAAGCACATAAAACAAAAAAGTAGACCTGAGGATGAATGGAACAGATAAGATGCAGAAATAACATGAAAGACACCCAGTGCTTATCTTTGATATGTTCACTAGAAGAAAAGTAGCCTTTTTATTAAGTGGTGCTGGAAAAGCTGAGTTTTAACACGCCAAAAACTAAAACTAGTCTCTCTTGCAGGCAATGCAAGCAATGATGTAATTATCTTTCAGTTTCTTATTGGAAATAGGTTTTACTTCTTGGCAAATTGCTCCTTTGTGGAGGAAGCCTTCAGCACATAAACCTGGCCATTTCAAATTACAGTAAGCATCAGCTGTGAAATAAATAAGTCCTATGGTGCAAGAAATGATGAGCAAGATATGAAAGGAATCTATAGGATGTTACTCTAAGCCTGTAGGAACTGTACTGCCACTCTAAACCACTGGGAAAAATTCTCTTCAAAATCAAGAATAAAACAAGGGGGATACTCACTGTAACAGTTTTATCCAAAAATGTTTTTTGTCCTAGGTGCCTTACAATGGTCAAAAGGATTAAAAAGTTTAAAAACTCATTATTTGTAGAATACCACTCTCTAAAGAAAGCATAATACAACCTAAAAGGTAAGTTGTGTCTGCTTACATTTTCCAATACTCCTATCAAGAAATAAAAAGTAACAAGTGAAATACATTCTAACAACTTATTTTATCAAATAAACACACCCAACATATTATGATTTAGTTGTGTGACCATTATAAAATTATTAATGCCATACTTAAGAATTTTGTCAAAATAGTTCCCAGGTATCTAGTATGCATTTGATGACTGCGGCTTATCTGAAATACAATAATGTTGAATAGCTTCCTGTAGCTAGTGACCACTAGACTAAGAGCTCAATTTTGAGGAAAGTATAATAAAGCAAGTTAGAAAATATAGGGAAGTGTATGGCCAAATATCAAAATAAATCTACTGGATAAGTTATGAACACATAAAGAGCAACAACATAATGTCATGAAATATACACAGTACATTTAAAACTAAAATATTACATTGACTGTAGCAATAAGATTATGAGACCTCCACTGTTCTGTGTGGCCTGCAGGGACATACACTTCACCCTACCCTGTCTCGTGATGGTTTCCTCTTTGGGCTGACAGCTGTGCTCAGTCAACTTTACTGGTGGGCTGAGTGGCTCCTCACCCTGACATTTCCAGACAACTGGCCCTTCCACTAAGAGGCTTTTCACAATGCACTGGGGTTTCTGCACTCTTACTTTCTGTTCCAATCCTAAACTCTCTCTTTACTCAGACTCTTTCAACACAGGCTCCAGCAGGGCTCTCTGACAGGTAATCAAGGTCCTTCCCTTTCTCCCTATTTGCACAAAGAAAAGCTGCCTTGCTCTACTTTGCCCAGCTAAAGAATGATTTCGGTAAAGCTTTGTTAAGGCAAGTACATATCTACAATTCTAGAACTCCAAGAGTGGGAAAGGAGGATTTAAAATTCAAGTCCAGTTTGGGCAAATCAGTGAGAGCCTGCCTCAATATAAATAAATAATAAGTTAAATAAAAGGAAACATGGGAAAGGGGATTGGAAAGAATGGAAAGAAGGGGAAATGGAAGACCATGAACTCTGTACTTTTCCTTTGCTAAAGAAATATTTTAGGAAATAGCATCAGTAGATAATCATTAAAGTGTAGAAAATTAAAATTCTAGAACCCTTTAATTTCACTTCAATTTTTCATATTTTAAATTCATATAAAATGAATTTGATGTCTAAAAAGAGTACTTTTTCTGATTCCTGGGTAGGTATCTTTGCAGATCTTGGAATCAAACTAAATGCCTCATATATGCTGAGCAAATATGATTGTTTTTAAATATATGTGAGCAAGCGTATGTGCCTATGTGTGTAGGTATAAGTATTTGTCACTTCTTTTCTTTCCATCCTTTCATCTAAGTCTTGAAGTTTTGGAGGAGAAAATGAAATATATCTTTGTTCACCAAATGTCGAATCCATGGCTGAGGCCATTCACACTGAGGGCAGATTGACAAGAGCAAAGCAGACCCATTTATTTAACGGAAGTTTTACATGATAGAGGTATATTAAAAAATGAAGTATCAAAGAAACAGAAATCTACATGTTTAAAGCACCATCTGATAAAGAGGTACAAGTTCTGGGAAGAATGTGATCAAACAATGACTACAGTCTATCACTAAGAATCTGGGAGGGGGGGAGGTTAGCAGGCCCAATTTGAACACATTCTTGACTTCCCTCCAGGGATGCAGCAGGACCCCAGCATTGGAAGGTATGAAGGGTAGGAGGGAGCCATAGAAACTCTTTCCATAGCCTACTTTAAGGGAGAAATGCAAGACAAAGTGGAGAAAGACCTTCCTGATTTTTGCATTTTCTCAACTTTGAAATTGTCACAGTCCATCAAAGTCATAACACTTTCCTGGAGTTATGTTCAAATAATGTTTATGGTAATTATTTTTATAACTCCAGTTTGTTATTTTTGTCATTTTTATCTTTATGTAAGTGTATTTTGTAGAAACTTTTGATAATGAACATGTGCATGTGTAAGTTTTATGGAAAATAGTAGTGATTTTTCTTTAAAAAATTTAACCCCTTAGCATTTATATCTAGGTATTTTCCTAAAACCTCATATGCTCAAAGTGGAAGTGATTTATGGGAGTTATATTATTCTTGGATTAAGAGGTGGGGTATACTAGAAGAGGGTGTTTACTGGGGGTGACCTGAAAGAGATTAGCATCCCCCTAAAACACCCTTTTTTGGCCTTTTGCTTCATGGACCACTTTTCCTTCTCTTTTCCCTTGTGCCATACCATCCTGGCTTGGAGCAAGCTGACTGTAGACTGACATTTCAACAAACTGTGAGCCAAAGTAAACCCTTTTTCCCTTAAATTGTATTGAGTATTGTGTTCAGTATTGTAACCCAAAGATGATAAAATGACTAAGACCAAAAAGAATAAATCTTAATGCTTTTTTATTTTGCAAGTATGTTATTTGAAATATGAAGAATTAATCATATTTTGGGGGAACTTCCTATGTTTTCTGGTGTATAAAATGGTTATATATTTTGTGGAATCTCTAAGTAGTTCACATTGGGTGATCTACATTCTGATCCCAAATTTTAAAAAGATTATTTCTGTTCTGATGATTTTCAACTACAGAAAGTGTAGCAATTATTTCTTTGCTTGAAGAATTGTTAATGAAAAGTCAATTTTATACCTTAAATTATAAATGTATGAGAAAGTGATGTAGTATTTTCCTATTTTTTCAGGCAGTTAAGCCATAAAATAATTGAGCTACCGCAGACTACCTGTAGCAAACATAATTGAACTAAAAGTCTTCATCTTCTTTTCAATATTTCCACATTGACAGTATGAATTTTAAAAGGAATTTGAAAACGGGATTGGAGGATAAAGCATGCAATCTCAATTCTGGAGACAGAGGCAGAGAGATCACCAGTCCGAAGCCACCCTGTGACATTTAAGGTGATCCTGTGTCAACAAAAACATATAAAAAACTGATGTTTTGGGTGTAGTAAAGCACTAGCCTCACATGCTTCTAGGTCTGTTTCTCAGTATCACAAGAAAATGAAAGGAAAACAGAAAGCAGAAGATATATTTTAATAGATTCATTTTATGTTGAAAAACTTCTGGCTTAAAGGTGAGTTGATTTCAAAGCCAGATTTGTCACAATGCCACACACACACACACACACACAAAAAAAAAAAACATTTATTAAAAACTTTAAAAACAGAAAAAGGAGAAAAAATATGTTTAATTAAGGATCATCCCAGTTTGAGCAGAGACAAGTTAATTCTACCATGCTTTTATATCTGCAACAGTCACATTCTTATGGGTGAATAAGGTCCGGTAAACACAACTAGACACTAATTACTAATTCCCAGGCAGGATTCAGTAGAGCTATTGACAAGCAACATGGGGATCTTTGTATGTCCTCAGCCCTGTCCTGGGCAGACAGGCACAACTCTTGTACTGAACTGGACTTCAGTAGTCCCATGGTGACATTTTCTTTCCATAGATTCCACCTTTTTGTGCTCATGACCCTATAAAGACCTGGTATTCTGTCAGAGGAGTAGGCAGTCAAGTAGCATGAGTATGCAGGAGTAGCATCAGAGAAATAAATCTGTCCTATGAGCTCGTAACTCACCTTCCTTTCCTTTTGCTTACAATAAACATATTTGTTCAGTTCCATTTTTCAATTCAAGAATTACACATTGACCCCAGCGTGTAAATATTGAATGCCTCTTTAAGGTATTGTATGGTAGAAATATCTATACAAGCTCGGGCCTTTTTTTTTTTTTTTTTTTTTTTTTTTTTTTTTTTTTTTTTACAATTCTTGAGTAGCCTTATTTTTATGGATAGAATATCATGAAATAAGTATATAGGAAAGATTAGATCTGTATTTTTTTGAATAATTATACTGTTGAACTCTAGTGTTGTCTGAACAGTCAAGCCATATTCAGGTGAAATCTTGGGTGTAGGTAAGGGCAGAGAGAAAAGGAGTCCCAGGGATGAGGGTTTCGCAGTGTGTTTAAAGCAGCTTAGCAAGGCAGGTCCTCAGGGAAGGTCAATTGCTTGTGGTCAGAAACCCATACCAGGCTTCCCAGGGGTCATAACTTGTCCTCCTTCATGAAGCTTCTTACTAGTATATGGAGAGAAACTGTATTTACCCGGAGAGGTGATATAATTAGTATAGAAGAAGTCAGAATTTTTAGGACTTAAAGGGGACCATCAGCTGATCTTTCAAAGACATTTTAAAAAGTCTTTGCTGACATCTCTATTCAATGTATGTTCCTTTACTTTCATATAACTATTCGCAAATATGTCAAAAGAGCATTCTCTCCTCTCCCACATTTAGTGGTGAATTTCCATTAAAATTCAAGAAAAGAGCTTTAGGCTAAGAGAAAAAAAATGTACTTCAGGGTACATGACACTAAGTTATAACACTGAAAATTACTTGTTTATTTTTTTCACAGTGCCAAATATGTAAGCAGTCCTCGTGGTGGGTACCAGACATATTCTTTCACAGGGTGTCTGGGTGTGGTTATGCTTGTTCTCTTCATTGCAGATCTAAGCTATGCCCACTGCGTTTAGATAATTTTCTTAGTCTTAAAGATATATTTCTGGCATTTCACAAATCCAAGGCCTACTGAAGAAACAAGGCACATCATTCCAGTTTTTCCATGGATTTGAGGTGTCCCTCATCGTGGCACAATCTTCCACGGTGACGATGTTGTTGGGCTCCCCTGCATCCCAGAAGCTGGAACAGAAAGAAAGGGGGAGTTTAAATCTCAGGAAGGGAAAGTAAAGTTGCCTAAAATATAGGGTAAGTCACATTTGTATGGATTAATTTCATAACAACACTACCAGGTAATTATTACCATCTTCATTTTTCACTGAAGGAAAGGAATCGCAGGAAAGTTACATCACTTGTGCAAGATTTAGAGTTTGTGGATACTGAGGCCCAATGAGTTCTCCCACACTTTCAAATCTGCTCTGCTTCCTAATGGTTTTAGATCCAGAATTAGAAAGTATGGGTAGGGCTGGTAGCCTGATCGATTTGTTTCTTTGTATTACTCTCTCACATCAATCAAGGTTCCCCGTTCCACAGAGTAGTCATTAACTCAGCTGCCTGCTTCAGTGTTACAGTGCTGTAATGAAGTGACTCCCCTAGAGATCAGCATCTGGGCTGTACTCTTAGAGCCCTTAGTGAAGTCACTTACTGCTTCTGCCCTTTAGGATCTTCCACTGATCAGTGAAGACTAATAATATTCATGCATTTTAGAAAGTGGTAATTTTTTTAAAATGGCATGAAAAAGAACTTTGAAAATTGTAATGTTCTGCATGCTTGCATTTTTGTGGTGTAAAGGCTTCATTAAAAGGATCTTATGATGAAGTAGTTTTCACTTTCAAACTGTAAGAATGCACCATCTATCTCAAATTTTTATTTGTTTTCTGAATTACAAAAGTTTGGAAATAAGACACAATGCTACTTTTGTCCCTTCCTCACTTTCACTCAATTCTTCCATTCTCATCTTGTTCTCATTTTCATCTATTACTTCTTTTTCATTCTTGATAAAGTCACAGGGAGAGAAATTATGGGAACTGTACCTCTCTTTTCTCTCCCGTACCCTAGGTCACTCTCTTCCTTTGTCTGGTAACAGAAAAGATAGATTTGGAGTTATCTTATGTAATAAAAGTAAGCTCTGAGAACTTACCTCAACAGGGCTCTCATACTAAGACTGAAAATAGTGAGAAAATTCACCAAGGAGGTTCTTACCTCAGAGACAAAGGTGTGCCATCTACCCACCGCCACTGACCCTCAACCACCTGGTCTGTCAATCCAATGTAATACTCCTGCTTCTCAGGTTTTCTGTAGAAAAGGAATTCCTATGGAAGAGACACAATCAGGAGAGAGGAGAACAGCTACTTCAGTCTAGAAGATATATAGAAAGTAATTGTTGTGGAAAGGAACTAAGTAGAATTTAAGTTAGAGGTAATAGATAAATGAACCTTGAAAGTATAAGATCATCAGAGATTGTGTACTAATTTTTTATTGTAAACACACACAGCAAAAATAAACTGAAAGAAATACCTTCAACATAGAATTGGATAATTCTTGAAAGTTCCTATATTGTTACTGGAATTCAAATCTCTGGTATATATCTTCTATAAAGTACTATCAATCACAATTTAGAGATAATGCACAATAATTGCTTTTTCTATTTGATATAATGTGCCCAATCAACTCCCCATCTTTTATTTTCTGCTGGCCATCTAATAGAACTCTATGTGGAAATCAATGTTTGTTTAAATTCTCCTAGTATCAAAGATCAATTAAAGTAGAATTGACTTACAGAGGTAGTGGGGAAGAGCATTCATGTCAATATATTCATTGTACAAACAGTAATCAAAAGTCAAATATTTAGTTAGCATTTGTGTAACATGTCACACAAGTTGCAGGATCTCTATTTAAATTACCTGTTCCTCTGCTGTGTTGATAACCACAAGATGAGCACCCATGTCTGAGCAGTTTTTTAAACTTGATGGCCAGTTCTTTGTGTTAGTAGAAAAGAAATAGCAGCTGGATTGAAAATGTTGCCAATTCAGTGGACAGCAATTCTTAATTAAACCTAGAAGAAAAGCTTCAGTAAGTGTTCCAGTTGAAGTGACCAGTACAATTTAAAATTGCTTTCCAACTTATAGAATCACACATTAGTAATACATTTATAATTACATGCTTTGGAGTCCTTTGTACATATGACAAACTATATTATCTAATTCAATAGACAATTCCTACATCAAAATACATAAACAATAATTTTCTTGGCTTTTCAGTGTAATATTTTTAGATACCAGTGGCAATAAATTCAACATTCTATTTCTTCTATTTTATATATGCAATTGAAACACAACTTTAGCATTTTCTTGAGTGATACCTAAGCCATATCTATAGAATTGCTTAAAATCATATAATTAATCAGTGATGTAAAGTTGGCCAAATTTCTTGAAATTATAGAGCATCAGTCTCTCAAATTTATTTTAAAAAGCCCACTTTCTCCTCCTTTAATGATTAATAAATTATAGTTCAGAGTACAAACCCCATCTCCCTATGTCACATAAATTTTTGCTAAGGTATAGGATAAAATGATACAGAAAAACATTTGGAGTATATTTATTTTGTATGTGAAAAACAAAGAGCATAAGTATACTTATTCCAGAATGAGTTCAGAAAAGAGAAAATGTTGATTTATAAATTTTGATGTTCAAATGTGGGAGCAATTATACCTGATCCTTCATTTTCGCAGGAAATTTCTGGGAAATACTCATGGGACTGCAACCTTCTCTCATGACAAATCTGAATGCTCTGATATGTTACTGTAAGATAAACGGCAAAGTGAAATTTGGATAAAAAATCAATTTTTCAGTTTTGTGTTCACAACATAGTTAGCAATAATTTTGATTATTTTTACTATCATTCCACATGGAGAAGCAATAGGGTTCACTTCCTCAAAGAAATAATAGGGAATTCACATTTCATGTTTTTCTTGATTTACAAAGACAGATTGATTTGAATTCAGTCTCACGTGCCTGGTGTTGGCCTTCACTCTTATAAGAAGCTGAACTCTCTCTACTCTTCCTTTTATGCAACTTATTTTGTTAGTAAGTCTAAGCTTCCAGCTTGTATCTCAAAGAGAAGACTTTACTGATGCTAATGGGACAAAAAGAGAGAACTCAAGGCCACCAAGAAGATGTAAAACACACATCATGAATAAAGTGTGTCAGAGAGCAGTGAAATTTGGTAACAGTGCTATACCAGTTGGGGCTGAATACAGCCTGAAATCAAAAGGGAAAGTGTGCAATTAAAGACTCCCTTTGTAGGAGAAGAGAAATTTCATCACAACAGAGGATTTGATTGAGTTAGACTTCCGGAACCCACCAACACAGCGGGTTATGAAACAGGCGGTGAGAAGCAGGATGGAGGTGCCAGCTACAGTCCAGCAGAAGCCCTGGTGAGAGCAGAGTCTTTTCTCTGTAGGAAAAAAGGCACAAACACAGTCTTCTTGAAGCAACATACAAAACAGTATCAATGTCTTACTTAGCCCTATTTTTTTTCTCTTCTATTGCACTAATTCCCAAACTTCACCAAATAAGTGTCACATTTTTCAATGTCTTTTTTAGATTAGACGGATTGTTGACAGGCACAGTGCAGTTCCTCCCTGCTTTAAGGGTACATGATACCTAAAAACTGAGTACTTCAGAAATGAATTGACTTGCCCAGGACTCCAGTTGTCAAAGAAAGACAGAAATTCCTGTCTGGTATCCTTCCCTGTACCCAAGTCAGCAAGCTTTCCTCTGTGACTTAGTCTCTGATCTCCCTTGCTCTTTTGGCCCCATTCCATGCCTCTCTCTTTTTTCACTTTACTGAGTACATTTTATTCTACAGTCCCTTACCTATACCAATATTGATCACCTGTACCAATGACTGATCAATGGAACGAAAGGAAGAGTTTCAAATCTTACCTGCACATTGTGATGCACAAGATTGGGAAGAATTCATTTTTTTTCCCTTCTCTTTCTCTGTCTTGCTTTTGCTGCTTCTTAGCTCAGTTTCAGGTCCTAGAAGTATTTGGTTGGTAAGGTTTCAGAGAAAACCAGTATCGGAAGATGAACTTTATATGTTTTCATAAAGTCTAAGTGTGAAAGACCTAGAGTATGAACTTGTTCTGTGGCTGTGCACTGAGCTCGGAATTTCCTTTCTTGCATAACGGGAACAGTGGGGTATCTGGCAGCATGCAACTGTCTTCACTCCAGAAAATGACAAAATGAGGAAATGATCAAATGGTAAACATCAACCCAAGAGATTAACCATAGGGAAGTACAAGAGACTGAAAAGAATGCTTTATTTCATTTGACAAAATGTCACATTTTCTTCAAGATCAAACTCATCTCCAGTGTTTCCTTGATAAATCCTCATTACATTTAATGCAGAGATGTATGCAGAGTGACTCATAAAAGAGAATTTCATGTTTTATCTCTCTCTTTCTCTTGTATTTGGAACTTTTGGACACTCTTGTGTTGTGGATTTATATCTGTTTTCTCAGCGTCAATTATAAGATTATATCACACATTGATCTTACCTAGCTCAGCTGCACACAACCTCACACAACTTCTGAAGCTTCAGTCTTGCAGAGCCTTTCAATCTTCTGTTCTGATGTGCTTGAAAAAGTTAGTTCTGTGTGGCTGTCTGCCTTAGGAGGAAAGGCTTTAAATGTCAAAATCAATTACAAAGCAGCTTCTCTGGAGTGTTAATATATGCGTGTTCCCTCATTAAAGATATTTAAGAATAAGGTTACTCTGACTTTAGTTGTGTTAAGTGCACAGAAGTTGAAAGAAAGAAGTAGGATTCACATGACTCCTTAAGCCACATGGGATAACTCGTGTGTTAGAAATACGCTTTTGTCCTACAGGGACTTTTTACTATTTCCATAAGTTGGGAAATTTGTTCTACATTCTTAACCTCATTGTATAATGGACATATTAGAATAATTTAAAACTATCTAAGAAAGTGCAAGTGTCCTCCAAAGTTTGAATGGTAAAAGTTTTCTACTCAGGGCAACAGTACTGGAAAGTGCTGTGGACTGGAGAGAGGTGAGGCCTGGTACAGGCTGTTAAGTTGCTGAAGACTCAGTTTCCCAGATTTTCTCTGCTTCCTGCCATGAGTGTCATCCTTACTGAATACCCAAACCACAAGGCCAGCCGACATTGTACTTGAGGTTCCAGGTTCAAAATAAGTGGCTCTTTAGTCTATGTATGGCGTGTTTCAGGGATTTTGTTGTGATAGAAAGATAGCTAAAACATATTTACTAGCAAACAGCATTTGACTAGTAAGAAGAAAGTAACAATCTAATGCATGAATAATATGTATCAGTAGATAATTATCATTATCACAGTCAATGTTTTACTGATGATGATCAATCAGGGATCATGCATGTTAATAATGATTAAATTATAATTCAAATTAACTAAATACTGACAATTTCAATATTCAGTTACCAAAATATTTGTTTATATTCATTGTTTTATCTTTATTAGCCTAAACTGATTATAAATCAGTGCATTTCACTGTGCTCTTTCCCTATGTGCACACATTGTATCCATACTTTTCTTCTGCCCTCACCCAGCAATCCTGTGACAGCCTTAGTATTACTTATTCTTCTGTCTTCACTGTTGCTTGTGTTATTTCTAACAACTGTTCTATTAGACTAACTTAATGGAAATAAAAGTTTGGGGTTTTTTTCGGTAAAACTGAAGAGCTTTCTTTCTTTCTTTTTTTTTTTTTAAGAGAACAAAAGAAAACAGAATGAAACAAAGCAAATCAGAACAATAAAATGCAAGCAACACAGCACTTCACAACAAAACACCTGGACATCAACAATAGCTAACATAATGTCTCCTTTCTTTGAAATAGTTGAGCATACCTTCACACACAATAATATCAAATATAAAAATATAGAAAAAAATATTCAAAAGAATGAAAGCATTACAGGACTTCAAAACCAAAGAACAGGAAATGAACAGTGGCTGCTATAATATCTCATTTTCCTCAAAAAATCTACCTATAAAATCACACATAATAAAATCAAATAAAACACAACAGGATAGAACCAAGCAAAACAGAAGAACAAAAGCGTTGTCGGACTTCAAACAAGATGATAGTAAATCAGCAATAGTTACCATAATGTCTTGTTTTCTTCAAAATAGAGTTCATATCATCTCACATAATAAAATCAAACAAAACAAAATGAAATTAGACCAATGAATGAAAGCCTTATAAGACTTCAAAACAATATAATAGGAAACCATGATTACCATAATATTTCCCATTATATTCAAAATAGCTGCCCTTAAAATCTAACAAAAGACAAAACAAAGCCAAACCTAATGAAACTATGTAAACAGTGCAAGAGTACAAGGTAAGACAATAAGAAATTGACAGTAGTTTTCACCTTTCCCTCCCTTTGTTCTTTTAAAAAAAAATTACTTAAAGAACGACTAAAAAAACCAGAAAATGGGTAGAAATAATACATACTTTCAAAGAAAGAATAAGCAGTAAGAAATCACTAGTTGATATTTACATATTGTCCCTCTCACAAATAGTTATTCAAAGGTACAAAAGTGGAGCATATAAAATGGGGTTTTAAACAGCGAGACTACAATCTGTTCTGTTCAACAAAAAAATCACTCCGAGCAAAGAATAATAGTATTGCTGTGTTTCACATTATGATACTCCTGGATCAGCACTGGGTACTGTAATGTTTCTTTTTCTTCAAAATATTTGTTCATTTCATCATGTGTCATAAAATCAGTTCTCATAAACTGTTTTTTGTTTCTATGCATGCATGAGCCTTAACATGTATTTCTATCCTTTCTGTATTAGAGGGAGGAACAAAACAAAGCAAGATAAAATAAAACATATTCCTATAAACACATGAAATGAAAAAGACACATAAGACCACAATATTAGGTGATCTATAGTAGTTACTATGCTTTCTCTTGTTATTTTCAGTAGAATTGGCTACATCATCAGACATCATATAACTGAATATAGCATTATATAGTTATTTTAATAAAAACACAATTTTGGAGACATAGTAGGACTTTGAAAGCAGTTAATAATCAAACCGGAATGGGTATCTTTTACATCTTGTCATCTTCAGAGTAGTTGGCTCTACACTTAGACTTGATACTATCAAGCATACCAAATCCGAATAAAAGTAGTCAAGGCAAAACAGTGGTCTAACAAACCACCTTCAAATAAGATCAGTCATAGTAAGACAATGTGCTTACATTGTCTTACTATGGTTTCAGTTTAGGTTAATAGGAAATTAAGGATAGATAATGTGGTATAGTCTGCTGTTTTGGGGATAGCTGTCTGTGCCCTCAATTCTAGTATGAGTAGACAGTCTGGAACAAAATAAAATCAAACTAAACAGAGAGATAAGACTACTGTGACTATTAAATCCTGGTACACTATTAACAATGTCTTCTGCCTTCCTTTTTTAGGCAGTTTCTGGCCTTTCCACTTCTCACGATGTTTTGTATATTTTGGGTCCCAACTAGCTCCTTTGGTTTTTTAGATTAGGGGGTCAACCCATTATCTAAGTTTTGCTGAATCTTTTACCCCTGAGCTTGATCTTGAACTGTACTCCTTTACTTACTAAAGCCACAGGGTTTTCCTTCCTTCCAGCTGTGTAGTTCTACAATGCCCAAAAGTGTCATAACTTTCCAATCTATCTGCAGCGGCAGGACAAGTTGTCCCTATTTCTCTCTGGTTTCCTGTCACATATAGCGTTGTTTTCTCATCTTTGATTTTCAGTTTATTAACCCTCTTTCAGGTTGAGTTTATTTCCTATTCAGAGCATCTCAATGGATCTTGCCTCCTAATCTCCTATTCTGCCTGTGTTTCTTTTTGTTAGTGTATCAAGGCTATCTATATTAAAGATTATAGCCTACCTTCTCTGCCTCATCTCTGCTATTCTATTTTTCTGCTATTATTTGTCCACTTTATTCCTTCATTCCATTGTCTGCCCCATTCATTGAGGTCTCTCTGCCAATGTTGCTGGAATCTTAGTATTTTTTTTTTCTCTCTCTAGAGTGTCCTTCAGTATTTTTTTGTAGGGTGGACTGGTGGTCATGAACTCCCACAGGTCCTCCTTATCTTGGAAATATCTTATTTCTCCATTAATTTTGAGAGAGAGTTTTTCAGGGTACATCATTCTGGGTTGGATGTTATTTTCTTTCAGGGCTTGGACTATTTCTCCCCAGGCTTTTCTTGATTTGAGAGTTTGTGTTGATAAGTCTGTCGTTATTTTGATGATTTTTCCTTTGTAGGTGATGTGCTTCTTTTCTCTGGCTGCTTTTAATATTCTGTTCTTTTGGTGGATTTCCAGGATTTTGATTATTATATGTCTGGGTGTAGATCTGTTTTGGTTGTTGGTGGCTGGAATTCTATATGCCTCATTTATCTGGGTATCATTTCCTTTTCCTATGCTTGGGAAGTTTTCCTAAATTATTTCTTGAATAGTCTTTGTAATTCATTTGTGGTTACTCCTGCTTCTTCACTCACATTTTTTATTCTTAAGTTATAAAACCTCTTGTCATCCTCTAGCCTTTGAATTGTTTCTCCCTGGTTCCTTGTTATTTTTAAAAGATCTTTTCTTGCATGATCACACATTATAAATCTCTCTTCAAGTTTCAAAAGGCTAACTTTAGTGTATTTCAAGGCATTTTGCCAGCTTTCAATGGAGTTTTTAGTTTCCTGGTAAACTCTTTGGATCCATTTCATGTGTTCTAGGTTTTGTTTATATTCTTCATTAAAGGTTCTCTTCCTTTTCTGGGTTCCTCCGTTCTTCCATCTGTGTTTTCTTGGGAGGGGCTTAACATTTCTTTAATTAATCTTTTTATATCTTGCCTCACTTGGATTACAATTTCAGTTTTAAGTTCATCTATGAGATTGCAAAGGTATTTCTTTATGTCCACTGATGTTGTGGCTAACATTGCATGATTGCTGTACTGGTTCTCTTCTATATTTACCTCTCCTGTGCTTATTTTCCCAGGTTCAGTGGCTGGAGGTTTTTTTTTTTTTATTTCTATCTTTTGTCATATTTTTGGTTTCTTTCAGAGAAGTGTGTTGTGGAGGTCCCTGGCTTTCTCTATATTGCTTATGGTTTTTCTGAATCATGCTGACTGGTGACTTCCTGCCCTCTCCAAATTGCAGTTATCTGAGGTGCATGCAGG